GATAGATAGATAGATAGATAGATAGATAGATAGATAGATAGATAGATAGATCTGTGATGCTCTTGTAGGTTTTGCAGCAGGAATACAGACAGTCCTGTCCTTGGATGAATCCTCTGTGTGTGTGTGTGTGTGTGTGTGTGTGTGTTACAGATGGAGGACAGCAGCCAAAACGCTGCTCGGATTCACAGTAAAATCTCTTAACTAGGTTGTTGAGCTCTTACGGTGGTTTTATCATCGTGTACCTGCAGTAATCCTCCCACTCATAGCCACACACATTCAATTCAAACTACATTGTTTTGCTGATTTTATCAATGATTAAAGTGGGACTGAGTCATTTTCTAAGGAGGTATAAGAAGACAAATCCACATCCATCAGCGTCTCCCGTAGAGATGACATTAATACAGCTGTTTGACTTCATCATCTGTTTAAACAGTTCTTACTGGGGCTGCTGGATGTTGGGACAAATGACACTGATGTGTAGTTTTGCTGCAATATATAATGAAGAGATGCAGGGATTCTCAGCAGATGACTGAAATAAGGGAAGACTTAATCATTCAAGAGTGATTTTGTACAGAAGAAATAAAAATGAATTTTAAAAAAGCTTGCAAAGCCTCCAGAACACTTTTCAGCTTTGGATTTGGATTCAGGTCTGTTTTTAAATGATAAATAAAAACAAGAGCAACACTGAGAACTGGTTTCTGGTCGACATTATTCTTTCTGTAGCTGAAATCTGTATTATTTCTGTTGTTTAATGTTTCTCTCCTGGTCTTGTTCATTTTGCTGAGCGCATGTGAAACGTCAACAAACTCAGTGTCTTTTAAATAAAGTTTTTTTTTTTTAAAAAGTCTTAAATTTAGAGTAAATGAAGTTTTATGAGGCAGGTTCCTCGTGTAGATCAGACATGAAGAATGGCAACAGTTTGCTTTTCTTATGAAGCTGCAGCATGTCTGAGTCGGTGCTAACACAACATACTGTAGATCTCCTTATGTTATAGTGTTATAAAGCTTTGATTAAATGTTTCTCTGCTGCCTTTAAATGCTAAACAAACAGCCTTAAAGTGAGCGAACCACAGCTACACATTCCTCTGAGTCACTCCCTCCAGTTCTTTTCTATATTTGTGCTGCTGTTAAACTATATTTATCATTATTCCATAACTGCTACTCGCAGCCCCAAAATGGCCGCTCGTGTCTGAGCAGTTTCTCCCACCTGTACGGCTCCGACTCAGCCAGGAACTTCCTCTGCTCCAGGGGGCTGGCGCTGACCCGGAGCTCCTTCACCACAGCCTGAGAGGAGCTGCAGTCGCACAGAACTTCCGCCAGGATCACCTGCAGGAGAAAAACAACATGAAGGACGGTCCAGGTGGTGAAAGAAGTCACCTGAGCAGAGGACTGGTCGGTAGCCAGGATCAGATACAACACTAAACCCACAGCGTGCTGCATGTTTGACCTGGAAGCACAATGACGAGGGGATCACAAAGTCCTCACTGTGTCTACGAATAACAACAGCTCATTTAATGTGGCTGCTCTCCTGTGCAGTGATGCTCTGCTCCAGAGCTCCTGGAACACTCGCAGCACTTCCTGGAAGTCCTGCTCTCTAAACATGTCAAGCTCCATCTGTGATGAGCTGAATCTGTCCAAATGGGGAAACGTCCACCAGAATTTTGTTTTTGGGAAGATGAAGAAGCCGCTGGGAGACAAATCGGCAGTTAAAGAGCAGCACTTTTGTTGTTGAGCCACCACCTAATCAGCACTCTGGAGCATCTACACATCATCCCACCACAGCTCAGGTGGTTTGAATGTTCTCCTTAAACTCCTCAGGACGCTACATGTATCGATGGTCCGACTCTGGAGGACAAATTCACTCCAACAACCAGGTGGATGTTGAAGGAAACAGCAAGTAGATCCTGAAAGAAACCACTGACATGCAGCTGGGTGGTCCCAAAACATCTGGAAGGCAGGTCCTGATGCTGACAATGCCATTCAACACTAACAGTACTGGAACTTTTTGATGAGCCGTCGTACGACACTATAATGCGAGCAGCGACTGTCCTACCTTCCCAAACCAGCCGTTTCCGATCTCCTGAAGGTAGTTTAACGTGTGTCTTTTGAAGCACTGAGATTTGGAGTCTGTAAAAACAAAAAAGGAGAGACACAAATAAAGATCAGAAGCCTCGACATTTGGTTTCATTATGATATGAAAACAGCCTTTATGAGGCTGCGACGCTGAAAACAAACGACAGATTTTACTCTGCAGCAGCCGAACGTTATAGATCTCCTCCAGATTTAAGACATAGAAGTGAGTCAACATGCACATAAACATAAAGTCCAGTCAGTGCATCGTTCATTTCAAAGGTTCAACATGTCTGAAAAATCAGTTTTCACAAATTTTCCCCCAAATTCTAATGTTTCTTTCATATTTCTGTGCATGTGCAACGATGAGCTAATTAATCAATGAGTTGGTCATCAGAAAATCAAACCTGCACGTGTTCAGATAATCCTCTGAAGCTGCTTTTCCAGGTAAACACACCAACATGTCTCTGATTCCAGCGTCTTCAATGTTAGAATTTGCTGCTTTTCATCAAAGTGAACAGAATATTTTTAGGTTTGGAACCACTGATGATGATGAACCACTTCTGTTTTTATAGATCATTAATCGATAATGGAGATAATAATTGGCTACTTCAATGACGGCTTCGTGCTCAGAGTACAAAAAAAAATAGCTTCGTTTGACTTTGAATTTGCTTTTTTTAAAATCTTTTCTCCTTCTTCAAAATGTTCTGCTTGTCAGAATCAGACTCCTCGTATGTGTTTGTGATGTTTGAATGACGCGATACAGTTCCACATATATGAGATCCATCAACTCCACAACCAGGTTTACATTCTAACATCACATTAAGCAGGAGGACAAATATTTTCTGGATCATTTGAGTGTTAAACGCTTTATTTTTCTGCATTCTGGTGAATTTTCTGCACCGATTTGTTCCTTTTCTGCATCAATTTATGGTCAAAATATCCTTAATGACGTAACGAAAACACAAAATTCAGAAACCAGGTGACAATTACAGATTCTAACAATAGATTCAGCGGCTGTTTGAGCTCATAAATCCTCCTGTGAGCGTAAAAGAAACGCCCACGCCTGTCTGCAGGACTGGTTCATATGTGAGGAGCATCATAGTGTTTTCAAATCTACATGGTGGCTCCACAGACGTCCTCTCTGCTCTGCCGGTACAGAGTCTGTGGGCAGGTGAGGCTGTGTTTGGGCAGTACCTGGTCCGTCCTGCAGGGCGGGGCAGCTGGGCCGGTCCCTGACGGGCAGGGTGTAGACCTCAGGCAGCGAGGGGCAGGACGACAGGCTGTCCTCCTGGATGGGGCTGGAGCCTCCAGAACACTCCTCCCCGTCCGCATTGTCAAACTCCTGGATCAAGATCAGCAGCAGAGAAACATCACGACACTGGTGCCAACGTGACCCGGAGATAAAGATTCATTCAAAAACAGAGACGGGTTCATAAAGAGAAGACAGTTTAGAAGGTGTTCTGAACAAACATGCTGCACAAAGACACTGATGGACTTTGGTTTATGTTGCATCCATAAAAAAATCAACCAAACCTGAGAAAAGGTCCTCCAGAACCTCCTCAGAACATCTGGTTCTGTATCTGCAGAACCTTTGTCTACTGACCAGAGTTCTACCTTCAGACTGTGAATGTTCCAGAGGTCCACAGAGGAGGGTCCAGATTGATCACTTTAATGGACTTTTTCCATCATTTCTGAGCCTCAGAACTTCATCAGTACAGCAGATAGACACATGACATTTAGGAGGAAGAACACATCTGGGTTCTGCTAGAACCTGACACCAGATCAGGACAGAGCGATGCAGAATAACCACAAAAAGAGGTAAAATCAACACAAAGACTAAAACTTGCCACAAAAAACACACAAAATTCAAATAAAAACACAAAATAACCACAAAAAGTGTTGAAAATACAACAAAGATTGAAATCTCCACAGAAAGGACCAAAAACACCACAAACAGACACAAGAACACATCTGGGTTCTGCTAGAACCTGACACCAGATCAGTTCTACATCCATCCCGGTGTGGCAGTCTGAACACTGGACCTGGTTTCTGTGAACTATCCCTGGTATCGGTGCTCTGAATCCTTATATTGGTTCTTTTGGGTCATTCTTAGATCACCAACTACATTTAACAGGTAATCAATCAGAACATTAGAGAATAATTTCCCCTATGAGTGGATCCTGTCCACAGATGGTCCTGGTTCTGGAGGTAAACCGGTCCTTCCATTGAACTGGTTCTGACCAACCACCATCACACATGCTGACATGAGCCTAGAAAGTTTACCCAGAATGCATTTTGTAAAGTTTCCTCTGGTGACTGATCAGAACCAGAACCACATCCAGGGTACCACTGATGGTTTCTATGACTCTGTGTCATAGACATTAAACTGGTACCACTATGAGACATCCCATAATACTGATGCTAGCAGCTGGTTATGAAGCTGACTGGATCATTTTAAACTAATTTTGTTTCATCATGAACTCGTTTACGACGAGTTTTTAATGTTTTTGGCTGTTTTTGCTTTTTTAAAGTTTGTGCAAAGTTTGAGTCGGTTTGGACACGTTTATGTCATTCTAGAAAAAAATGAGGCAGTTTAGACAATTTTTGAATAAATTTGATAGATTTGGGGTCATTTTGGTGAAGTTCTGAGTAATTCTGGTAACTTTATTTTCTAATTATGGACGAAGGATGAAGTCATTTTGGACACACGTTGACGCCTTCTGGACAAATTCTTTAGACCTTTTCTCAAAGTTTCAGGACAAATTTGAGCAAATTTTGGGTACTTTGGACAAACTATGAAACATGAAGCTGGTTCAGAGAATGTGAACAGAACCCAGATCCCGGGTTCAGACTGGGACACCTGGATGGATGAAAACTGACCCTTCTCGTGAACATTTGTTCCCTTGTTGTGGTGATTTTTGGTCTTTTCTTTGGAGATTTTAAGTCTCTGTTGTAGTTCAATCACTTTTCGTGATGGTTTTGTGTCTTTTTGTGGAGATTTTGTGTGTTTTGTGGCAAATTTTAGCCTTTGTGGTCATTTCACCTCCTTTTGCATCATGTTGTGTCAGGTTCTAGCAGAACCCAGATGTGTTCTTCCTCCTAAATGTCATGTGTCTATCTGCTGCACTGATGAAGTTCTGAGGCTCAGAAATGATGGAAAAAGTCCATTAAAGTGATCAATCTGGACCCTCCTCTGTGGACCTCTGGAACATTCACAGTCTGAAGGTAGAACTCTGGTCAGTAGATAAAGGTGCTGCAGATACAGAACCAGAGGTTCTGAGGAGGTTCTGGTTGGAATCTCTGGTTGATTTTTAATGGAATGACACCGGATCCTTGCGTAAAAGCCTCATGCAGACAATGTGTGCGTAGACAAAGGAAGCAGAGAGGTGAATAAATCTCTTACATGTTGAAGACTTACATTGAACCCCACTCCTCCCCTCTTGCAGCACAGGCAGGTGAGGAGCAGCAGAACAAAAGAGACGAGCCCCGAGCAAGAGATGAGGATGACGACGTAAGGCGGAGGAGAGAGGGAGGCAGCCCTGGACGGAGAAACTGGGAGAGACAGGAGGAGGAGGAGGAGATGTTAATGCACAAAGTCAGGGCGTCTGTGCTTCTACAACAGAGGGGAAACTGGTGGGTTTGAGTCAGTGAGCAGGAAAAGAGAGAATCACTGAGTCAGAGAAGTGTGAGCTCTTGTTACAGAGGTGTTGTGTTTAGAGGGAAGCCATTGGAGCGTTTTCTTAGCGGCAGGTTGGGGACACAGTGGAGAACCCCAATGGACAGTTTGCTTCAGGGATTTGGGGGATAAAAAAAGCAGGAAAACAAACTAAGCTCAAGATCAAAAACATTGTCTGAGTCGGTAAAAAGGAAACAGAGACTGGAATTAAAGTTTGGGAGAGTATACCATTCCAGTAAGGAGAGAAGCATGGGGGAGAGGGGAGATATCAGAAACGGCATTCCACTCAGGAAACACAGTTAAGAAGCAGGGAGGGGTGGCTGGACGTGTCACTGAGGTGGAAAAGGAGCGCTAAGGGGAAGAATTACTCAAATCAGGAAGGTTGACTACTCAGGTGAGAGAGGGAGGAGCGGGACATTTGATTTTTGTACCTCAACGTGGTCGATTGTGGGAAGTGAACCATCTGTGGGAAAGAAAAGGGGCAGGGCAGCCAGTTAAACAGCCGACAGGTACTGGTCACACTTCTATACTTTCTGAAGCCACAAAATGCACAGCAGACGCCCAGAGACAGTCAGAGGGCGTCAGACTCACCAGAACACAGTCAGGGCCTCCGGTTCTGAACATCAGGGCTGCACGATATCACGTCTGAGCGACAGAACGTAGTTTACTCGGATTTATCTAAAGACACACAGGTTGTTGACGTGCAGCTGCACACGTGCACAAAAACATATTTAAATCAGTGTGACGAGAGCAAAGACGCAGTTCTGAAGTAAAAAACTCTTCTGGATGCAGTTGCCAGCGTTACGTCGCCGATGTTCTCCTCTATAAAACCGCTAAAAGGAGTTTTTCTTAATTTTCCTTCCAGACTGAGTTTGTTGACGTGCAGCTGCAGACAAAACGTTCACATCAGAGCTCGACACGGCGACTGGACGTCACCATTGTTCCGCTTTTTAAAACTGTTTTTTTCACACATTCACAGCAAAAACAGTAAAAACGAGGATTTGGCTGCAAAAAGGATTCAAATATCTGGACCAAAAACAGGTTCTCTGTCTTGCAGCTGTTTTCATTTATCATTTAAATCAGCAGCACAAAGAAAAACACTGTTTTCAGTGGTGTTTGTTTTCTTTTTTTTAGCTCTTTTTGGGTTATTTTTTCATTTCCATGCAGATGCACTCTCTTACAAAATCCTCCTGATCATTATTGAATGATTATTTCTTTCCTGATTCAAGCTTTTTCCTTAAAAATTACTGCATCTGTTCAATACATGTGCAGCAAAACAAAGTCAGCTGATCCCTTTGCTGGTTAATCTACAAAACAAGTCTGTTTCTCTGAACTTTATCTAAAGACACGCTGTTTGTTGACGTGCAGCAGAAACACTGAAAATGAAGATTTGACTGAAAATAAATCAGTTGTCCGTAAATATTCCCACGACAGGAAGGATGACGTCAACAAAAACAGGTTCTCTGTTCGTTCAGCAGCACAAAACTCTTTATGACGAGCGTCTTCACCGCCATGTGTCCAGCTTTTTAAATCCTATTTTTTATTTTCTCACACAAACCACGCTCATCATTCTAGATTATTATTTGTTCCCTTTTTAAAGCCATCTGCTGGCAGCTCCTGGATTTTTTTTCAATAAATATCGCGATAAACACAAAATATGTCCAATATCGTGCAGCCCTGTGGTGCATAAACAGATGACAGCAGCTGTAATAATACAAAGTGTGTCTGACAGACGTCGTGCATGACTTTGTCTTGTTATACCACCTTAAAAAAATGACCTAATCCCATTTTAATCCTCGATACTATCAGCAAACAGCAAGTGTTTGATTCATATCAGTGTAGCATGAGAGCAGAGTTCAGGATTCCTGCAGGAATTTGGAGATAAAACATGAATTATGAAGAAATTGAGCCTAAACATCAACACTGAAACCACATAATGATGTATTTTAGCTTCAAAAGACACATTTCAGGTTAATTATCGGTCATTTCAACACATCTGAAGCAGCTGGCGACACTAAAAACACGTTTTAATCTCAGATAAAGCTGATAGAATGAAAACTGTGCCTCCCTCTCTGAGTCAAAATCCCCAAACACGTTCCTTCACAAGGTCATGATACTGTAAACACTGCATGCATCAATTTTAAAGTGGCTTCTTCATATTTCAGCAGCTTGATGAATATTGTAAAATAAAACAGGAACCACAAAACAAATCTGAGCCTGTGGTTGTAAAAGAAACGTCTTGAGACTTGGGTTCATCTTTTGTGCTGCAGAAAGTTGCAGCAACACAAACAGAGCTGTGCTGGGAATGTAAAGCAGTTCGGATTCCAGCAGTCCGGATCAGAGCCGTATCGATGGCTATCGATCACATCGGCTGATTGGAAGCAGCCTGTGAAGGCAGCACCAGCAGAACCTCCAGAACTCCAGCTCTTGCTCCTCTATGCTCTCCTGCTTCCCCAGACAGATGTCCAGACAGACACTGCATATAAATAGGAAGCTCCAGCGGCCTTCCAGCGGCTCCATCACAACAATACAGCAGCAACAACACAATGAGTGCACACCAACAGCCCGCTCACATCGGCCACAATAAGGATGCCAGCGCTGGTTAACGGGCTCCGGGGGCTATTTTTAGAGCCGATATCTCCGCTGACCGCCGCTCGGAGCCTCTGGATGTTGTTTTTAACGGGCTTCGACGCGAGGCCCGAGCACTGTGCGCCCGAACGCGGCCCGAGCAGCCGCCTCCTGCTCCGCTCCATCCGACCTGCTCCTGCTGCAATAACAATTCGCATTATGTCTGATAACAGAGCGGCCTGTTCCCAGCTTCCTCCCCCCTCATCCCCGCATCCCTGTCAGCCTCCCAACCACCTCCTCCTCCTCCTCTCCTCCTCCTCCAGCTCCTCCGGCTCCGCTCACCTTCCCTCTGCGGAGCTCCGAGCGCTCTCTCCGGGCTCAAGTACGACATGATCCCCGCCAGCGCCACCATCACCCAGCAGTGTGGCCGCATCGTCGCCGCGTCCGGAGCAACAACAGCATCCGAGCGACGCCGCCGACCGTCGGTGTCCTGCGCCGCTCCGCTGCCGTCCCCCCCGCCACGGTCTGTGCCGTCTCCGGGCGCACGCTGCTGTCTCCCCCCGATAATAAAGAGCGTCTCCTCGCCTTCCTTGTTGTCTCTCCCCCCTCCTCCGTCCTCCTCCTCCTCCCCCCTCCGGCTCTAATCCGCAATTAAGCGCGGTGCGGGAGCCGCTCTTTGTGCGTCCTCAGCGCTCCGCTCGCTTTGCGCACATTTCTGCGCCGCTGAAAACAAACGGTGCGCGTCTCCCGGAGTCTTCATGTGTGTTGTCCGCTCCCTGTCGCCGTGTTTTTCTCCTCCGCCAGCCTACGTCAGACTCACGCATTGTCACGGTCCAGCTCCATCATCATAATGGCAGTGGAGAGGAGCTGATAATGATCCCACCGGGAGCTGGAGGCGCGCATCGATCCCTTATTGGATTCTTAATCCTCACAATCAGTATTCATACGGCTCTGATGTCATCTGTCTGCCACTGCTGGCATCCTATTAACACAGAACGAGCTCAGAAATGGAGGCGAGCTGCGCAGAATCCACTTAATTCAAATAAAATGATGGTGAAA